AGAGAGAGAGAGAGACAGACAGACAGACAGACAGACAGACAGAGAGACAGAGAGACGATTTATCAATAATCTGTGTACATTTCTTACCCAACTAGAAGACAATGAAATACTGCTCTCTCTCTCTCTCTCTCTCTCTCTCTCTCTCAAATCTTAATATAAGTAGTTTTACCTGCATTACGATGAACTTTTAAAAATACAGCAAATAGATTAATTTGACAATTTTATGCTTATTCAGGCTAAAAAGTTTCTGATTGCTTTCAAGCACATTAATAAGCAAATATTTTTCATGATTTTCTTTTCTTATTGCAGTATGATTAAAAATCTTCGATTTTGTCCCGTCTCTATGGGAGCTTATAAACACCAAAATTAGAACAGCTCTAATTAAAATGCGTCTGTCGTGTTGAGTTTTTTCATTGTTACACTGACACCATTTAGTACTTGTTTTCCTTTTCTTTTTTCTGCTTGAAGAGAATTTCACAGCCCAGCAGAATGCGCAGATTTCGTGCTTGGTATGTTGCTGCGAGAAAAGACGAGAGTATCTGTGCTCTGCCTGTTCTGATCGTCGAATCAACTTTGTTGCTGACCAAGTGGCCTATAAATGATTTTGTTTACTGATTGATTCGTTTTCTTTGCGGGTTATTTAAGCCAGAAAATAATTTTAGTTTATAAGAATTTTGTGGGGGATATGTTAATATTTTAGTGATACAAGTTTTACTAATTAACCTATAGCTGGGGGGAGAGGAGGTGGATTCATATCTTTTCCAAGGGTATTTGGGAATACGTGAATATAAAAAAAAAAACAACGGGAATTTGAAATTGGCTCTCCTATTAACAATTCAGAGCCGCTTTCCATTGCACCACCCGCACATCCAAGCTTACAGTACCTGTCATTTCCAAGCGTTTAGCCATCTAGGTACTAACAAGGCTTGATGTTGCTTAACTTCAGGAACAATCGTACGGGAACCGGTGTTTCAATACTATATGGCCCTAGGCCCTATGGCTTTATTTACTAGAGTTCATGGGATTACGTCATTTCATTTACATGCAAATAAAGCTAGAAAAACAGGTCAGTGCTTTATCTATCTGCTTCTTGACAACAAAAGAGGCGAAAAATGATAATAATATATCGCAATGAAGGTTCATTATCATCGTGTATGTAATGCTTCATATTGTAACTAATATTAAATGTAGGTATCTTACATTTGTTTTATTTCTATTTTGTCTTTGTTTTTGTGTTACATATTTTTTTTATAGTTTTAACATATAAATAATTCGTCATCAAGCGTATAATAATTGCAACAGGTCTCAACAGTTGAACCGGTGGATGAAGAGGGCTACGTATTCAAGACATACTACAGAAGGCGACACTGGAAATTATAACAGAGTCAGCGGCACTCCGCGGTGGTTTCATAACTATATTCGGCATGTCTCATTGCATATGTACCGCAGAGAAATCTCATGAATTCAAGTGTGTGGGTCACTTCCTGGCATGTCGTTTTTCACCTTAAACAAATACACGCGATCGGCACTTTCTATTACTCTGACCTTTCACCTCCAACTAACTCCTCCAAGCGGTGATAGGGAATGGATGACTGAAGCAGGTTTTGATGAAACAGGAAGCTTCCAGTCCTGAACCTGCACATTGATGACGAATTTAGTCATCAACGCTATCATCATAAAGGAAGCGATCAGAAAACAAAAAAAATAATAATTATTGGTTACGAGATAAAGCCGAAAATGCCAATTCGAAAATGAGCGTAAAACTGCTTTTTAAAAATTAAATTTGTCGTTTTTCTTATTGGCGTAGACGTTCGTGTAACCTTTTCCCGTCGTTTTAGGCTGAAGGGATTAATATTTGTTTTGTTAAATTGTCAATGTTTATTCTTATCATCAATCATTTCTTGTTTGATTAGCGATGATCGATTATCTTCAAGCACATTTTTGGCAGTTACTCTCATTCTCTTATTGTTGTTGTGGAAATGTTTTTTTTTATAAAACTAGGATTGTCTCAAAAGGGCAAATTGTTGACCTTAGGCCGATGCTGGATAAAACCACTTCCTTAAAAACAAACATTTCTTTAATTAGAATCTGTTCATGAATTGAAATAAAATTTGCCTGTGTCTGAGGAGTAGTCTCATTATCATTTAGTTAGCGCGAGAGTCCAAGTGGGAGATTGTATCAAATTCAAGTAGTCCGACGATCTCATCTCTTTCTTTTTCTTGCTATACTTCTCTCTCTTTCTTTCTGTCTTTCTTTCTTTCTTTCTTTCACTCACTCACTCACTCCTCACTCACTCACTCACTCACTCACTCACTCACTCACTCACTCTCGTCCTCTCTCTCTCCCTCTCCCTCTTTCTCGTACACACACACACACACACACACACACTTATTAAGTGCACTTCGACGTGGTGTAATGGTTAGCAATCTTGTTCCGCTAGAACAATTACGACTGAGTAGTAAGTTCGATCCTCACTGCGTGGCCCATACTTTCGGCCGTCTGCTACATCTAAGCTAGGCTTAGAAAATCAGCATTCGCACTTATTAAACAAAACATTATAGCTAATAATTCTGTCAGAAATCAGTTGTAAATTATATTAATGCCAGCTAAAAATGTTCTTCCCACTTCAGAGTTTTTAACACACATGTAATTCGTACGTTAGCTATACAGCCACTACCTTATCCTGCCGACTAACTTGCTAGTTGTCCAGCCAAAGTCCATTTTGGCACCTACCTACCTTAAAACACAGTATACTAAACCCTTTCAACTAATCCGGAAACAGATTTCTGGAAATAATGGGAAATTAAGTGAAATAACAGGCCCCACCTAATATTTTTATTTTTATTCTGTCTCTTTTGCTTCCTTTTTTGTTTCTTCATATTTAATAAATTCAATTTAGTAAACTAAAGTCTAATGCGAAAAAAAAGATTGGGATGTGCTAATCGTCAATGAGAAGAGAGACCACCCAGCTTGAAAAATCACATTACTGAATGGCTTTGAACACCAGTCATTGTCATTGAGTAGAAATGCACACGACTTTAACCGCTAAAAAGACTATACAACATGGTATTAGCGGAAAAGAAATAATGATAATGACTCGAACGACCTATGTGATCTGACCTCTGCATAATGGGCAATGATCTGCTAATAAATGACATCCACAGATGAGATGATTGTAACATGTAATGGGACAGGACTACTGCAATAAAACCGCCATTGTGTGGAGGAGGTCAGAGAAAATCAATGGAAGGACAGAACGAAAGCTATCAATTTCTCTCCAGGATGGTTTTACAACTTTCTTGTCTTTTTTTTTTGTATTACCACAATGGCCGAACAGAACTAATGTTTTACCTTTCATTGGCATCGAACTTCTCGGCGAACAGTCGAATAAAAAAAGGACATGGGTAAAAAATATTGCTGGCCAATTTTTTGTGACGTTATTTATAAAACGGGAAACGCTACTGGGATAAACAAAGACGCATGCATTAAAAGCTTAATTCGTAGTGGATATGACTCTTTACGTGGAAACTCCACATATTCTTTTTAGGTTGGTCTATATATAGTTCCTATATCTGTCCTCTGTCAGTCTCAATGTAGTTCCAGTGATTACGGCCAGAAGATAGTTTCCATTCGATGCCTTATCTTGAATCATTTCTATTAACTTCTTATTCTTCTACCAAATTCCATCTACATATCCAAGTGATATTTTCCCCCAGGTTCAATGCAATTTTCCTATCACGAATACACCCATAGGACCGAATGACCAAGATGTCCTTAGCACAATGCATTCTTCCTACAACAGTTTTCTCTCGTTTGACTCAATGACAGATATTTTCTTTTTTCTTGTCGCTTCGCTTATTTGGTTTCATGAACTTTTTTTTCTCACACAATTGCATGACCAATTAAAATTTTACCAATGTTGGTACCAAACAAAATATTTCGAACGATTTTCCCTATTTCGCCTAATGATAAATAGTATTCTTTTGTTTTGGCGAAATACAGTCTTCTTACCACAATTTACCCCCGTTTGATTTAATATCAATTAATGCTTTTTTTCCCTTGGAACACTGCAGTCTTCCATCTAAGATCTATCTCGTTCAAACCTATAACAAGTAATTTTTGAAATTCTTGTGTTTAACCTGAGATCGGACACCTACCATTGGCTCTGAAAGGAAAGAAAACCTATTTCAACACGTAGCAATACATTTATTCTTTTTAACTACACCCTATTACGCAACTTTCTTCTGGAGCTGCCAAGATCATTTATCGAAGAGCTTTAGCCAGCCGGCCGTCTTGCAATGTATTGCTCCAGAGGTCGACCACAAAATAAACACTGTCGAACTGTGACTTTATATCAAATTTATCTAAACAGCGTCTGCTGTAGCGGGCTAGGGTTAGGGTTAGGATTTCCATATGATATTAATTCTCCCAGTGGGGTTATTCGTTTTTTAAAATACCATATATGCCAATTCTTTTATCTTTTGTACTTTCCGGCGCATTTATCAATTATAGTAATTTCTCTTGAGTTAACTTAATTTCTAACAATAAAAATATTTCTGAATTGACAAGCGCTAAATTACAAAAACTAGAATCTCAAGAGAGGGTAGAATCATAGTGTTTTATTTAACACTTGAACATCATCAATTGACGTTTCATCAGCGATGATCAGCGGGTATCATCGTTAATTTAAACATTTCCCAATGATACAGGCATCATTCATTCATGATTCGAATTCGTGACGAACTGGCAACTCTAGGATTCATGATGTTACTACTTACAAAGGTTCGGTCATTTATTGGACGACTGGCCTGTAAAGAAAACTGGAAGAACAAAGCAAAGGAAATGCTATGTCTGCGTGCCTGCTCTTCAAATAAAAATGAAGCAAAAATGACCTCATGTTAGAACAAAGCTCTACTCTGTTGTGCATGGCATGATTCAATGAGTCTCATACTGTTAAATAAAATACTAAATTTGAGAAACTAATATCTATTCCATTAAGCTTACGACCATATAATGTTGAAACACCTGTTCCCCGTACGACCAACGAAGTTAAACAACGTCGAGCCGGGTCAGTACCAAGATGGGTCATCGACTGGGAATACCAGGTGCTGTAAGGTTAGATGTGCGGGTGGTGTAATGAATAAATGCTTTATATTAGATATTGGAGAGCCGAGTTCCAATTCCAAGCCGGACAATTAACGAAATACTACACACATGCATAACACCAGAAAGAGACAGTGGAAATTTCTAGAGTACATAATGAGGAAAGATGGCTTGGAAAATTTGACACTCACGGTGTATATTGAATGGAGCAGTGACAGAGGAAAACGGTATCTTTCAGAAAGATATGAATCCACCTCTTCTCCATCAGCTATGGATTAATTAGTAGGATTTGTATGAATAAAAATCGTTATTATCTCCCCACAAAATATTGCAATCTAAAAATACTTTCTGGCTTTAAATAACACGCAAAAGATTGATAAGCCGTAAAAAACAAATCACTTCGATCTTCAAAAAGTTAAATGCAATGTCAATCGTTATCTTTTGTCTTCTTGGTTCTTGTTTTGGTATTGTTCTCTCTTCTTAATAGTAGTTTTTTTTTCTCATATTCTCTAACGCTCAGTAACCCCTTGCGTCTTATTAGCTTTATACGTTTGCTTGGAGTAAAATGATTAAAAAATGTCAATCTATTTTCAGTGTTTTTTCAATGTAAAAGAGTTAAAACATTATTTTTATTCATTCATTTATTCAGTTGTGCACATTTTGCTCCACCGCTGTGGTTACCGCTCCGCTCCGTCTTATAATTGTTTTTCATGGTGACCTTCACGGCAGAATAGTGCAATGGCTTGCCGGTTCCTTTCGCATCTGGGGATACTGAGGTTACATCGCCCCTCCTTCCAGAGATAAGACCTACAAGATAGTAAATGGTCTGAATTCAGAGTTTTCCTTCTCCTGGATTGGCGATGGTATATGGAGGCCGTGTGCTACCCAGAATAGATGCCCCCACTCTTTTAGCTGTGCCGACAAAATTTGGGATCTGACCGCAAGGCATCGGAGATTTGAAACCAGGGTTTTCCTTTCCCTATATGGATTGCCATTTTGGGCTATCGAGCTCCATCGACCCGAAGCAGATGGTTATAAAACGCCAGTTCTCGATCTTCGCCCATTCACCGCCAGGTTGCAAGTCGACTTGTTGTCAGAGCTTATTTAAGACTCATGCTACGGAAACATTTTATATACAGTGGGTGCTTTTCCCACTATCCTCTGGCTATGACAACCTTTGGAATATAATGTACGTATATAAAAATTTATCTAAATTATTTTAGAAGCTTCAAATGATTAAAGTTTTTTTTTTTTTAATATATAAAATTCTAGGTAAACAAAAACAATAGAAAGCAAGAAAAATACGAAGCAGTAGTTTGTTAATTTAAAAAAAAAAAAAGATAAAGAAACATAGAATGATATCGGGATTTTATCTTAAAATACTCTGAGATTATGAAGTCATTATTTAACATACAATAAAATCCATACAGCCATTTTGACAGTAAGAGCGCCTAAACTATCAAATGATAAAAGATGAACGAGAATAGAAAATGCGAAGTTGATAAAGAAAACTTTAGGCAAGCTAAAACAAAAAGTGAAAATAAGACAAACGATCTTTAGGTTAGTTGTACAAATATAAATAAATACTAATACAGAAAAACCCTGTAACTGTGGAAAAAGTTGGAAGAAATAAAAATAAACAATATAAATATATAACTTCAAATAAATATAATAATCATAATCTATATAAATAATAATTGCAAATGATATTAAATTATTATATTACTTTAAAAAAAAGCAATATTTTCATTTTTCAGTTAAACTTAAAATCCTTTAGTTTTTTAGAGCTTCGGCAAAAGGTATCATCTTTCCTTAATTTCTGAACGGCTATCATCATTCCCCCACCCCCAACGTCGTCGTATCTAAGAATTTAATTTATCCTTTTCTGATCGCTTCCTATATAATAATGATGTTGGTGACAAAATTTGCTGCCGACGTTCAAGTTCAAGACTAGAAGCTTCCAGTTTCCCCAAAACCTGTTTCGGTCATCCATTCCCTATCGCTGTTTGGTTTTGAAGAGTTGGTTGGAGGTGAAAGAAAATCAGAGTAGAATAAAATGCCGGTGGTGTGAATTTGTTTAAGGTGGATCTCAGCATACCTAGAAGTGGCCCAAACAATTGTTTTTATGACCTTCCACTTCGGCACATACATAATGAGATGGACTAGGTCTGCTCTACTCATTGTATTGAGCACTTTATTTAGTTGTTTTGAATACTTGCATCGGGTTTTTTTTCTTTGGGCCTTGAACTCGTATGCTGGACGATTTTTTTTCGGTTAACGTACATGTTCATGGTTCTTTCTTTTTTTCCCTTTGACTTGTTTATTTGCAAATCAATATACCGAAGGTTTTCTGAGCGAGTATGGTTTCTCATACTTATAAGATTTCTATTAAGCATATAATGAGATGTATAGAATCCAGTTATGAAACTACAGCGGAGTGCCGCTGTTATAATTTCGTGTTACGCCATCTGTAGCATGTCCGTAATGCGTAGTCCTCTTCATACGCCGGTTCAACCGTTGAGATCTGTTGTAATCATCATCCGACTGTTCCACCGTTGAGGTTTTGGGGGTTGGTTGCGCTTAATCTAGGTCCTCGTCTTCGACCTGGCTGCCAAGGGTGACCCTACCAGGAGTTTAGAACACCATTATAGTTCTACATAATTAAAATGAAAAAAGGCATAAAATCTATCCTTTAAAAAGAAATTCTCTTTTTTTTATCCGTTTGAAGAGCACATCCGTGCAACCTTTACCCTCTGTTTGAGGGTTAATTTATCAGATATTATGCAAAATTTGTTTTCTTTCGTGTATTGTTTCTGAGGGGCTTAGTTGCCTTTCTCATCAGCATAAGATATCAGTTTCCATTCCAAAATTAGGAATACCGATTTTCAAATGTGACAGTCCGTTTCGATTCTAACAATTAACGAAATATTACACGCATACATAACACCAGAAAGAGACAGTGGAAATTTCTAGAGCACATAATGAGGAAAGAAGGCTTGGAAAATTTGACACTCATAGGGCATACTGAATGGAACAGTGACAGAGGAAAACGGTACAAAACCTACCTAAAGTGCTTAAGTAAATGGTTGGCAAAACATGGTTTAAGAGAGATAGCAAAAGGAACTTTATTTAATAGAGAACGGAAAATGTGACACCGAAACCCGAAGATGTATTGGGATAGCGAAAGATGCCTTCCAAAATCTAAGGATGGTATGAATAAACAGGAAATTTTCATTAGAAACAAAGTATGAGTACTGAACTGTTACGTATTATCGGTCCTCCTCTCCGGTATAGAATATTGGACAATATCCTCACAGAAGAAGAAGAGGTTACAGAAATATGGATCAATAGAAAAATGCTCGGAATACCATGAACAGAACATGTGAGCAACGACGAAGTTTTACAGAAAATGAAAAAAAAAAGGACATTTATACTTAAAATCAGGGGACAACTGAAATTTCTAGAGCGTCATTTTTGGGAAATTTGACAGTGCCAGGATATAGTGAAGCCAAGAGGGACAGAGGAAAACAACGCATAATCTAATGAGCTTGAGTAAATGTTTGGTAGTACAGGGCTTTAGAAGAGATAGTAAAAAGATACAAATTTACTAAGAGCTACAAAGGACAGGGAATTGCAGGGATCCATGATCGCTAACTTACTGAAGGGATAAAACATTAAGAAGAAGAAACCTTACGACTTCCATTTACCACAACTCAAAGATAGTCTTCCAAATGAAGAAATGGACTGAAGAATAATTTTTACACCAAAATTACAAATAGGGAAGGCCTACCTATCTTGGAAATCTAACCTTCAAAATGTTGTTACCCGGGATCGAACAAGGATCAATGGCACCAATAAAAAAAATAAGTAACTAACTCGATCATAAAACGGTCTTAATCAGGTAACAATAGAAATCACCAGTGTACCTTATTAAAATTCTGTCCCTTAAAAGAGATACCTTATTTGAGGTGACTTATTATTGTGTACTTGGGAATCCAGTTTTCTGAACTGGGTAAACCTACAAACTAAATTCCTGTCATCAAATATCGATTGGATACCATTATCGAGTGTGTGTTTGATGGAATTTTTCTTTTATTAGTCGCAGCTCCAGTTTCTTGCTGGAATATTTAAGAAAAGAGGAAAGGAGATAAAAAAAACTCTGAACAAAAAATAAACCTTTCTTTCTTTCTTTCTTTCTTTCTTTCTTTCTTTCTTTCTTTCTTTCTATCTATCTATCTATCTCTCTCTCTCTCTCTCTATATATATATATATATATATATATATATATATATATATATATATATATATATTCGTGAATCAAGTTAAGGAAAGACTTAAGAAACTTATTGATTACTGGTTGTAGAGGCGGGAATTTCCGAACGATTAAAAAAAACAAGGTTGCATCACTCAAGCGTTGGCGGCGGCGGCGGCGGCGGCGGCGTTGGCGGCGGCGGCGGCGTTGGCGGCGGCGGCGGCGGCGGCTGCTGCTGCTCCTGATGCAAAGATGGTGGCATTGATAACACAATATGTCGGTTGAACAATCGCAGCCTTCAAACCGTTTTCATTGGTAGGGAAAACGAATGACGTCAAATGACAGGAATAACGAAAGTTCTGACTTCTGAATATGAAAATAAAGCACAAACTGTTAGAGAATTTTGCTTGTAGCGACAGCAATGATGGCGGAACTGTCGGGTGTCGAGATTAAATATTAACGACGGCAGCTGTTGTTATATTTATTAACTATAAAAGGCAATTTCGATATTTCTAGCATTTCGTTATGGCCAATATTGAAGGAAGAGCATCTGTGACAAGTGAATATCTGGTCTGAGCATTTAGTTTAGTATTTATCAATCCACCTACGAGGATAGAATGTGGCACAAGGCCGGTTTAATGTGGGTATCCCCGAGCCCGTAGGCTCGGCCAAAAATATAGCCTTTTTGAACCCGCCTAGACGGATTCAGGCCCTGTCTACCTCCCCGAACGAAACCTTGCCCTTCGGCAAAGCTTCGCC